TTTATCCTTGAGGTCTTTTAGCGAAATTAGGTCGCTAGCATTATCGTCTGAAATCTCTTCATTTGGTTCGATCATCAATCCAGGTTCATTTACGCAACTTTTTTGAAGATCGGGTTTACCCGACGGGCTTGATTCTTGGTCGATTTCAAGGCCTATTGGGATTCTCAATCTCTTCCTCTGTTCTTCTTCCTCTCTGAGAAGAGTTTCTCTAGAGCTGTTCATGGCCGCGTTTCGCCTCGCAATATCAAGCTCTTCGAATTTCCACTGGAGGTTTCTTTTCTTTTGCGTCGTTCTTGAGCTTTTAAATCCGACATTTCTCGGCGGTTTTGTAGTTTTCCTCAGTCCTTTAGTCGCGTAGAATCTAACTAGTTGATCTCGTTTTCTCGGGCTGGGTTTCTTCTGGGTGCAATGTCTTTTAATGGCCGGCGGGTTATTCAGTATTGAGTCCTTTATGCCCAAGGCATCTCTCTTTTCTGCCCGAGAAAGCACTTTTACTGGGGATCCAGCGCTGGTTGGTACGTATCTCACTGCATTTGAGATATCCTCCGGGGACGATGAGTTTTCGTCAACATCTCCATCTTCTATATCATCGGGGGCGTCCCAGTCGTGTTTTCGCTCTCGGCTCATTAGTTTTTTGCCCTTATCTGCTTTCACGCACTCAATACAGTTTTCGCCGTAGACTTGAATTTCGCGGTAAATTTTCGGCCACCAGATGTATTGAGTTGCCAGACTTTTCATTGCGAACTGGCCAGGGTGAGCTTCGTGTATTCGGTTAAGCATTGTCGATCTTAGGCATGCTGGGATAACTAACCGATTGTCCAGATAAAGACATCCTCCGCTGACATGTAAATTATTTAAGTACGATTTATAGTAGTTTCCCAGTTGTAGAATATCTTGTTTGCGGTCTTCCTCAATTGCTTTAATTATCTTTTTCAGAACTAGATCTTGTTTTGATAAGAGGGACATAAATTTTGAATCGAATATTTTTGGCCAAGAAAAAGGGAATATACTGACTGTTTTCTTTTTACTAGGTGATCTTTTCCCGGGATTATCCGACGGGTTACTGGTGCTTGGTGTTAAAGAGTCCATGTTTTCATTAGCAATAAGTTCTTTCTGTTGGTTAAATTCATTTTGTTCTGCCATTTCTTTCAGGATGTTAAAATTTGTAAAAAAGTCGTTTTTTTGCAAGATGAGTCACACTGTTCTGTACGCGAGTGAGAATTTTGGCACACTGAAATGTTGGAATAGTTAGCTATCGCTTGGAACGTTTCAGCGGCATTAGCAATTCGTTTCTCACGTTCTATTTCTTGACTGGTCATATGATCTGATGACTGGCCAATCGTGTTGCAGGAAGTGACGTCATGTGCTAAGAAATGTTGAGAGAAATTATTTCTTATTTGCGACCACGAGTTTCTCGGCATTAGGTGATCAAAACCTAGGAGCGTACTAATCTGATTTACTGAAGCGATAACAAATTTTTCGTCATCCAGAGATACTGGTACGGGTTCACCCGATGGGTGTCGGGATATATAATCAACGAATCCCATATCTTCACCGGGTAAAGGTTCGACGGTAAAGTCGAACGGTAGTAGTTTGTCCGCCCAACGGATGAGACGTGATTGGGCCGTTTTAGTATATTTATCGTCTTTCAGTGCTCCTATTAAGGCTTTGTGGTCTGTTAAAATTGAGAATTGTTTGCCCAGTAGGTAATTTTTGAAATGGTCTAGTGCCCACACTAATCCCAGTAGTTCGAGTTCATTAGTGCTGTATTTTAATTCGGCAATATTCAAAAATCTGCTAGCGAACGCTACGGTCTTCCAATTCCCCCGATGGTCCTGTTCGATGGACGCGCCCAATCCTAAATGTGAGGCATCGCATTTCACTCGAGTGTCAGTTTTACATCGAAATGATGGTTCGTCACCGTATTACAAATTTCTTTCTTGATTTTTTCAAACGCTTCCGTGTGTACTGTAGACCACTTAAATGGTTTATTTTTTTGCATAAGTTCTCTAAACGGTGTTGATAGGGACGCTAAGTTTGGTATGAACTTATTAAGTTGATTAATCGATCCCATTAATGATCTGATATCTTTGATACAGTTTGGTTCCTTCAGGTTTCTGATTGCGTCAGATTTATGTATTAGTGGTGTCGTCCCTTTTGCGTCGAATTAAAATCCCAACTATTCTATGTTGTGAGTTAAGAATGTGCATTTTTCCCATTTTATGGCTAGTCCCTCGTCATTTAGTGTTTTTAACACGTTAATTACTAGCTTTTAATGTTCCTCCTCGCTACCCACGGTGGCGATTAGGATGTCGTCGAGGTAACAATGGGTATTTGGTAATTTTTCCGTCAAACGATCCATTATGCGTTGAAATTCATTAGGCATATCGCCTAGTCCGTAAAATTTGGTTTTAAAACGGTAGGAGCCCGTTACTTCTCCCCCACGATGTTAAAATTACACTGATTACTTGCCTTTTTAGAAAGCGGTATTTGACTGTAGGCGTATTTTAGATCATTCGATGAAAACCAGATGTTTCTTTCATCGTGGCCGCTAATCGTAACTGCTACGTTGTCAATTAGTTCGAATAGGTTCGGCATTTGATATCTATTACGAAATATCTGTTTATTTAATAGTTTTGAGTTCAATGCTAGTTTGATTGATCCGTCCCTTTTTGCTGTAATCACGATGGGGGAGATAAAACAATCTTCAGAGCATCTAGATAATTTTTCGATGTGTCCGTCTCTTAGTATTTGGTCAATACATACTTTAGGGAGAAGATGGATCGGGATACGTTTCCCTTTCACCTGTATCGGTTTTAACGGTTCGTTAAAATAAGTATTAACAACGTAGTTCTTTGATCTACCCGTTCTTTTTATGAGGTCTGAAAAGTGTTTTGATATGTATATTTTAAACTCACTTTGAGATGGTGTCTCTTGGCTTTGATCCTGTTTGTTATCCGATGCGAATTTTATTTGGTTGAAGTTTGTCCCAATGGGTGATGCTTTCTGGTCTTTCCATGACTTTGGCCCATTGGGTGGGGGTTGTTTCTGAAATACTACGATTCCCAGATTCGGTAAGATGTCGTTTCCCAGTAGATTTCTTTCAGCCCCTTCGGTGATGAAAAGTTTTTGGTCGTTAGCCTCCCATCCCTTCGATCGGATTCTCACTCGAACTCTTCCAATAATGTTGATTGTACTCCCGAAGCCCTGGTATGCTTTCTTTGTTATTTCGTCCACAGATTCTAGTTTTAAAAATCTATCTCGTATCTTCAATTCGTGTAGTAGATCTTTTTTCATGAAAGAAACTGGACTTGCTGAGTCGATTTGAATTTCGGTATAATAAGGGTTGAAATTTCCCAGAGATACCTTTAGTGTCTTTTTCAGTTCTAGTCCTTCGTGGTTGAATACTGTTCTCACTCCGCGCTCTATTTTGTCTTCTACAGCATTTATTTGGCTATCTGTGTCTACAGCTAGAACTAAGAAATCGTCTAAGTTGACCTCAAATTCGGGATTTTCCTGCGGGTTGGCCCGGGTATTTTCGTTTTCTTGAGGTACTCGATTCTGTTCGACGATGTTCGTTTGTGTTCTTGCTGAACTCCTGCAATGTTTAGCAAAATGTCCTTTGCGTCCGCGCGTATTGCAGTTTCTATCTCTGGCAGGGCATGTGGTTAATTGTCCTTTTTTGAATTGCTGACCACAGTTGCGGCATTTGTTATTTTCAACGATGTTTAGGGTTGGTTCATTCTTTACGTATTGTGGTCTTGGTACTGCGTTATAAGTTGGGAATTTTAAGTACTGTTGATGGATATTAGTACCTTTTTCGTGAACTAATACGTAAGATAGTACGTTTTCTGGGGTCAAGTATTCTATGCATAGTTTCTTTTGGATCTCGACATTTCTCATGTTTGTGATGAAAATGTCTCTTACTAATTCTGACTCGAGTTCCCCCAGTTTACAATTTTTTGCTATTTCAGAAAGTATTTCGTGGAATTTTTCTAAGGACTCATGTTCTTTCTGTCTTCGGCCAAAAAATTTAGATCTTTCGTATGTTAAGTTTGTAGTGATCGTGAAGGTACTTTTTAGTAGTTCCCAAAATTCTGCGAAATTGATATCCAAAATTCTTTTACCAGGGTTTTTATGAGAGAAGCATTTCTGTCCTTCTTTTCCGAGTGCTAGGATTTTAGCTTCTTGTCAATATCTCCGATTTGGAGTCCGTTAAATTTTGCGTTATCTTCCGCCCTTCTCCTTCTCACTTCTTCGTTATAATTTTGTACTGCTATTCTGTGATGTTCTTCTTTTTCGGCCCGACGGGCTTGATCATCGGACGGGTCCGGTGGTTCTGCCCTAGGGTAAGTTAGTTCGTTTCTTATCGGTGGGTTAATTACATCTTCGATGTCTACGGAATCTTTCACAATAATTGTCAATTGAAACTTTTCCGACCACCTTTCCCAGTCGTGTTGATTTTCGTTTGATGAGTTGTTCCAAAAAAACTCTAGTCCTCGTAGGTTCGATTCGTTAGACTGCGCCATGTTAAAAAATTAGGATAACACTCGTAGATGATTAAGAGTGGCAAATTAAACTAAGACTAGATTAAGACTAAGGTTGGTTAAGATTCCTACGATAAAATGTAGGCTTTTATTTAAGACTAAATAAAAGACGATGATGCTATCTAAAGCAAGATATGTTAAAAAGATTGAATTAGTTTCGGTTGATTTGTTGCATATCATAAAAGATAGTGCGCAAATTCCAATTCTACCAAAAGCCGTTGCGCTTTTGGCAGGTGTATATAAATTAACAACGTAAAGGTCAACGATCAGTATAGAGGTTAAATGATCAAACAATAATACTTTTTTTAAAACGGGTTTTAAATTTCAAGTTTAACGCGTTTTGTCCGGTTAATTTAAATCAGCACTGTATTCATATTAAGATAGCAGCGACTCAGGTTATTTTTCGACCAAAGAAGAAAAAACTTTTCGTGAATGATGTTTATTGTGAAGGCGATGGAGAGGAGTTTCGTTGCTATCAAACCCGACGGAGTTCAGAGGAAGTTGGTGTCTGAAATCTTGTCTCGGTTTGAGAGGAGGGGCTACAAGTTGGTGGCTCTGAAGATGTTACAACCCACAAGAGAATTGCTTGAGGAACACTATCAGGAAATCAGTCGCTCTTCCTCATCGAAAAAATAGAACTTCATGCATATGGGCAGGTCCGAGAGTTTCGCGGAAGAGGGACACGTTTTAGTACAACTTAAGTAAAAAAAGGAGTAAATTTTTAAAAAAGGTTCATAATAGTTTTTATCATTTTTTTGATGCCGAAAGTATCAGCTTGCTAATGAATTAAGAAGAGACTAAGTTTGAATCGACTAGCATAAACTTGATTGGCAATAATTTTGGTATCAAAGTTGGAACGATCAGCATAAACAACTGAAACACAAAAAATTTGTGGCACTTGTTAAAGTTCTAGGTAGATGCGTAACTTTTCGGCCAACCAAGTGAGTTATTCCGAAATTAGGTTGAATCTGAGAAAAATTAGTCTTAAGATTGAACTAAGTTTCAAAATTGTTTGAAAAAGGCCTGACCCATATTCAAAACACTAACAGAGAGTTCTTAAATTTTAAGAGGGAGTCTAAGCAGCTCGGAGTCGTAATGCGATTGCGATTCATCGGCAGGAACGCTCGAAAAACCAATAATCTTTCTGATAAATTCAAATCGCAATTTTAATGGTGCCATCATAACGTAAAATTTCTGACGTTTGAAGATGATAAAGAAAAATTATGCGAAACATAAATGCAAAAAATAGTGAAAAAAACGAAGCTGTATAAAAACCGTTTCAATTTTATTTCTATTATGGTTTTTGTACCGAAGGTGAAGTTTTCATCAATTTTTTATCAGAAAACGTATTTTATAATAGAATTAGATTTTTTTTTCATTTTTTGCCATGCTATTTAATTTATCTAATATATATTTCCTATGTGCGAAAAAAACACACTTTGTCCTTAACATGGCGTGAGATGGTTTTCAAAAAACTAGAAAAGAAACAAAAAATGTTGCATATCTTTTTGAATTTTTTGTCAATTCAAGGCAGGAAGTTTTTCGAAAATCCGCGATTTCAACAGAGAAATGCTAATTTGATGATAAAGTAATCGGTTCAGTTTGTATCATTGTGCATCCTTTTTTGTCATCATTTGATAAAAATTGACAAAGAAAACTCGAACAAATTGTCAAGAAAAAACATATATTTTTTTAATTTTAAATTTTGTAGACCACATGCCTTTAGCTGTCAATCACTCATCGCTAATCAAAATTTTTTTTTTAAATTAAACAGAAATTTTAGGTCTTTGATACTGTTAATTCAGATATTATTTCGTCTCCTCATCCTTAAAAAAGCTTAGAATAAAACTTCCGGATTGGATCTTAATCAAACTTTCTTACGTATAGCTTTTATTAGGACAATGATATGAATCATTATCTATTGGAATGATAGTGTTAAAATCACCACTATCCTGTTTAATCGAATCATAGATTGATTTTGATTGACAATTAAGTGATTAGGTGATGGATATTTACGGCATGTAGTTTAATAAGCTGTAATTACCAAAAAAGAGGTACTTTGTGGACAAGTTGTGTGAAACTTCCCTGTCAAGTTTTATCAAACTACGACTAAGAAGGCACTCCAGTTTGATTCATAAATAAGACCCTAATGACTTTTTTCTGGGCATATTGAGTTAGCACTACTTAATAATAAACTACTTAATAGGGAGCAATAAACAAAAACGGATAGATTGAATGAGAAGGGGCGATACAGGATCTGAAATCGAAGAAGTTCTTCCAAGACCTCATTACCTACATGCGCAGTGGACCAATTGTAGCCATGGTGTGGGAAGGTAAGAGGGTTAGAGTTTAAGGATCCGCGTTTTCATTTTATAAAAGATCAAAAGATTGTTTATTACCCTGTTTTATTTAGCACGGGGGGGGTGGTAATGATGGTTTTTAGAAAAAAATAATTGTTGTCCGTTTTTTTAAGTCAACCAGTCATTTTCAAGTTTTTTGAATTCTGCCGAAGCCGAAACCTTTGAAACTTAAACTAAACTATAAAACCATTTTCTGCGAAGCAACATTTTTATAGAATCAAAATAAGATATATGAGCAATTTTGAAATTCTTAATAAAATATAGCTTCTTTCGATGCGCCTGCCCTTCAGAATTAGTGCATATTGGTACCAAAGAAACGAATGTTGCCAAATAAATAAATTTTATTAAATGGCAAACAGAATTGAGGGGTTTACATAGATGTAGCGTATAAAAACTAAAAGTCCTCTTTTTCGTTTTTTTTTGCGCGCAAGATAAACGCTTGATGTTGTGCAAAAAAGTATTCAAAAATTGTTTGTTTTTTGTTTATCATCTTGTAGGAGAAAACGTAGTTAAGCAAGGTCGAGCTATGCTGGGAGCGACAAACCCCCAAGAGAGTGTGCCGGGGACAATTAGGGGGGACTTCTCAATCACGGTGGGAAGAAATATAGTACACGGAAGTGACTCGGTGACATCAGCCCAGAAGGAAATCGGTCTGTGGTTTAGAGAAGAAGAAATATCTTCGTGGGATTCAAATGATCACATCTGGCTGTACGAATGAAACTAATTAACTGAAAAGCCTAAATTTACTATGAATTTTTAGTAATTTTCATCTAGTCGCAGGAGGGCGATTAAGGCGTTTAATGATTGCCATCAATACAGCCAGCAGATCCCATACACTTAAAAAAGTTAAGGTTATTTTCCTTAAAAAATACCTTAAAACACCTTAACAATTAAGGTAATTTTGCACTGCCTTAAGTACACCTTAACCCAGGGGCGGATCTAGGATTTTCTCGAGGGGGGGGGGGGCGGATTTTGCCCCTATTTTGGCTAAATTTTGCCCCTATTAGAAGAGGATTAGAAGAGGATTTTGCCCCTAGATTTTGCCCCTATGTTTTGCCCCTATTTTGGCTAAATTTTCTTCGCCGCAGGTTAATTTTTGAAAAAACAGTCAAAAAAGCCGTTCCCCCTCAAAGTTAGTATATATTGGCGCCGAAGGCGCCTTTAGAACATTTTTAGGGTCGGTCGGCCAAAAATGGATTTCTGAAAAAGTATCAAAGGGGGGACCCTTTGGGTCGACAGGGGGTCGAATCCCTGAGGAGGGGGGATGGAGTCCGCCCCCCCCCCCCCCGCCCCCTAAATCCGCCCCTCCCTTAACCTACCTTAAAACACCTGAAAAATTTACCTTAAATTACCCTAAAAGTCTTTAAAAAACTCCATAAAAAAATTTATAGGTAAACTTACTTTAAAAACTTACCCTAAAAAAGTAGGTAATTTACCTATATTTACCTTAACTTCAAGGTATTTTCACCTTAAATTTTTCCCTTAGAAACACAAAAAATAAGGTAAAATAACCTTAAGTGTTGAGGTAAAAACCCTAATTCTCTGCGTCTATCGTTTGAACTAATATGAGGTTATGATTTGCTATACCAAACTCACTAATAAAAAAAATCTTGTCGTATTAAGCAAATAATACATTCATTCATACATGCATACATACACAAATACAGTGCTGATTTAAATTAACCGGACAAAACGCGTTTAACTTGAAATTTAAAACCCGTTTTTCTCAAATTGGGTTGAGTTAGCTGCAAACTTATGGAGACAAAACTTGCTTAAAATTTTAGCAGAATTAATATGGTGCAATTTATTTTGCGAATTTCGGGTCCAAAATTTTAACCCAAAAATGTGTCGTTTTGGTTATTTTTAGTTAATCAAAAATTACGCCAAAATTACCGAGTCGATCACAGGCATAATCATATTAAAGTGAGCCCCTTACGTAGCCCAACAAACTTTAAAAAGCGTATATTCTCCAAAAAAATTGCAAACCGTTTAAAAATTGTTTTTATGTAAAAAGTTGGTATTTTAGCTAGTAAAAACGACCTTTTTTGTCTATCAAACAAAAATAAATTAACTTATACAATGTTCTGGAGAATATACCCTTTTTGAAGTTTGTTGGGCTACGTAAGGGGCTCACTTTAATATGATTATGCCTGTGATCGACTTGGTAATTTTGGCGTAATTTTTGATTAACTAAAAATAACCAAAACGACACATTTTTGGGTTAAAATTTTGGACCCGAAATTCGCAAAACAAATTGCACCATATTAATTCTGTTAAAAGTTTAAGCAAGTTTTGTATCCATAAGTTTTCAGCTAAACTCAACCCAATTTGAGAAAAACGGGTTTTAAATTTCAAGTTTAACGCGTTTTGTCCGGTTATTTAAATCAGCACTGTACATACATACATTAATACATACACAAATTATTTTTTCCCCAAAATGATTGAATTTAAGTTTTGATAAGTTGGCTACGAATCAAATGTTTATCCTAAAATCCCTTATTCCTGTTTAATTAAATCCATTCCAAATTTTTTTAATTTAAAGTTAAGGTTAAGTTAAGGTATATTATTACCTTAATTCAGTTAGGGTAAGTTTTACCTGACTATTTTTTCCGGCCAAGTTAAGGTAATACTAAGATAAATTTCACCTTATTTATTTACCTTTACTCATTTAGGGTAATTTTACCTTAAAATTTTTTGAGTGTAGATGATTTTACCACTTACGTTCTACTTACCCACAGTGGCAAAATACTTATATTTGAGTTTTTTACAGAGTTTCTACAATAAGAAAAATCGATCTTATGCAACCTAATAAGACAATAAAGTCGAGAAAATGGAATTTATTTTGCGGTAAAAAATCTGTATAGAATCTGCATAGAATTTGTATAAAATCGAAAAAATTAATTGTAATGCATGTTTTAAAGACCCAAAAAGATTCGTTCAATTGTCTAAAAATGGATTATCCTTTTTTTTACTGTTAGAAGCATGCTGCTTGAAAAATCAACACAGAATGCAAACAAAACGTCGTGAAGTATTTTGCATCTCCCAACTTAGAGAGATTTTCGTCGATGCGAGGGATCGTTTATGCATCCTTTATCGTTATTGCGTTCAAATAGCAAAATCGCAACAAAACCTGAGTTGCCCCCTTTCTTCTTAGCCATGACTACGCCACAGGCCCACGGGGACTTTTATGGCTCAATCATGTCATACTTCAATAGCACCTCAATTTTTTTCCCAAATGCCTCTTATTTGGGTTCCCTCTCCTAGCTCCCTCCCTATGAGGTACCGATTCCTCTTCTATTTCTATCTCATGTTCCACAAAATTGCAACAACCTATGTCGGCTTTGAGTTTCGGAAAAACGTCTGCGTTCCAATTAAACACTCCCCAAAGGGAGTTCAGTTCCTTATCCAATGTTTTGCCTTTCAGGTGTTCTATCTCAGGTAGAACTGGTTTGTCTGCCACTAATTCTAGGTCTGTCGGTCTCTCAGGGAAATTCGAGCAACTAGACAGCCCATTGTCTGTCTCCGATTTCATAGAAAAAACTTTTTGAAAGACTTCATTTCCATGATTCTCTTCAATATACATTCTTTGTTGGCACGTGATGGACACTCAGTCACTTTGACCCGCTTCAAGTTCTCCAAACTCTGACATTCTGTTATCAGAGGCAATGCATAGCCAAGCTTCTTTCCATGTTGTATCGTCAACGATGTTGCCTGTGTGTTCAACAACACACTCACGCATAGTCAATTCTGAGTGAGTGAGAAGCATCTTCCTAAAATAGCTGAGCTCTTACTGTTTGGGTTGGGGACCAGACATACTTGTATGTCGTGACTAAGTTCATTCAAATTCCTCATCCTAAACCCAACTTTTCGATCTAGGAAAATCGGCATCTTTATTTGATTTATCAAGATCTTTTAACAGGTGCCTTTTCATACTTCCTCCCTGGGTCCTTGATTCGTATCAACCCATCGTTGAGGTCAGTGCGACGTCAAAGTTTCGCACGAAGTCGCGTCCCAAGATGAACTGGTCGGATTTGTCCAGGTTTTCGACAACCAGAAAGCTCATCCAGAGATGTCTTCCTCCCAGTTGCTGCGAGATGATGGGTGTCTTTCCGGCCACATAGATTGCACCCTGATTGGCCGCAGCTAGCCTGATATGATTCGGTATCAAATCCAACCTATTGAAGCCCAAGTCGGTCCAGGTGCTAATTGGCATGACACTGACCACCGCTCCGGTGCCAAGCAGTCGCTTTACGGAGAGTTGTCTGCCCTGCACGTCCAGTACGTGTGCTGCTAGATCGACTTCGCAGCCTATGTGGACTGCATCCTGTTCAAGCATGGCGTTGTATCCAATCCGTCGGAATCACGCTCCTCTTGTACGCTATAGGTCCGGCCTACTTGGTTACTTGCATTCGTCACGTGAGCTTTCGTGTAGATGTTTATGCCATCCACATTAATCAGGATCGGGTATGAGCCATAGACCTCTATATATTGTCCATCTACCCTCATCGGCCTCCGCCCACCTGTTGTGAGTAACGCTCTCACAGCCCTGGAGTCCAACTTAGGATCCCTTTCCCTCAAGTAATCTGCATAGATATCCAGATGTACCAGGGTAATCTCAGGTAGGCCACTCAAGTTTTTCACCACCTGATGACTCCCAACCGATATTATTGGCATTGTCATGCTTCCTTCACTCGTCATCCCAAAGGTCTTCCCCGAGATGACATTTAGCTTCAAACCTCGGCTCTTTTGGTTCTTCATTGTCATCTGCTCTCACTGTCTTCTCCAAGGCAACTATTTTCTCTCGCAACTCCGTTCTTTCCATATCAGACCTAACCCATTGCTCAACTTCTTTCGTACCAAACTCTTTTTGAACATTGTGTAGTGCGGTAGGCCATAATCCGCTAGTGCGGTAAGCCGCTAGGTCATAATCCACCATAAGCGCATTAGCTGGGACAGCCCCGAGGCAATTATATCATCCGGCAAGGTCTTCACCTTCATAGTCGTGCAGGTGCCTTGTGACCTTTCTTTCTTGCGCGACTCAGCTTCGTTCATTAGTCGTACTCGACTGGCAATTACTCCTGAAAGTGCCTCTTTGTGGCGGGGATACTTCGCGTCTGCTACTGCATCCCAAAACTGTGTTGAAATACCTTTTCAGATTGCAAAAGAAACATCTTAGTCCATATTTCATTATAAGGCTTGTCACATATTCCTTTTGGTCCTCATCAGATGCATCCACGTCGTCTAGGAAGTAAGCAATAGCTTTCATGTTTTATTTATAAATAGAACAGGCTGATACATGATGGTCTAGCGAACCACAATTAGCACAATACCTCCTTTTGTCCAAGTCATCACTAGATTTATACCAACCGGAATTGTGCCGGTATTCATTCCACTATAATTGCCGTAATTGCTATAGCGATTCTATGCCCTCAGCTTTATGAGCTGGTATTCACGCAATTTCAAGCTCAAATCATCGGGCGTGGGCACGGAGTCCGCAGACAAGGTGAAGTGGTTGACAAACATTGTTTTCAGCTCATCACTCTTCACTCCGTCCATGAATTTTGAGGCTATGGCTAAGTTTCTTTCTGGCATTCTCTCGTCAGGGTTTTTTCTCCTTCTGAGCAGCTCGAGGTCATCCGAAAACTTGTCAATGGACTCATCATCTCTTTGGCGCCTCTTTTCAAACTTCACCATCGCCTGATGCCTCTGCACACCCGA